CATAAGGATTCTGACGTTTTTATGGTCGCCCTCGGTATACGAGGCCGTCCAGAAATTTATGTGCCAGTTCCGATGCGGACGGATATCGGCTGCGCAAAGGAATCGTTAAGCTTTGCATGTTTATTGGCCCCAATATGAATTTTATGAGTCGACGCCGCATGGAGGCACCAATTATGAGCCGCTTATTTTATATTTGTCCGTCTTCTTTACTGTCGATGCGCTGTAAAAATGGACAGGCTGCCCGCTCGCACCGTCTCAGGATAAGCGTCTGTAAAGGATTATGGTTTTATTACGTGCTCAGATTAACACTTTATTGAGATATCAAGTCTGAAATTGCTGATTAATATTACTCGATCTCTTCGCGTCGAGTGTAAGAGCAACGTATTTTCCATTAATGTTGCTCGTAATGTTTAGTAAATCTTATGTCCAACATTGTATGATTATACTTTTAGCGGCTGCTCGTCCTGGAAGGTCACACTTTCACAAATTTTATGACAGTTCGGGTCTGGTCATCGAAAGACGAGCAACGAAATAAAATGATAATTCTAATGTAAAATAGATTACTTTATGCCGGAAAAATAACACAAAATGTCATGTTTATCACAGTGTATGAGTCTCATAATTCTGGAACTTACATTGCAATCCGTGTTAAAGTTATATTTTTGGAAGGTTTATTTAGTCAAGATAATGAAAATGACTAACAAATATGAATTTAAACAATAAGGTTGCTACGTTTCGAGAGACATGCAGCTCTCTTCTTCAGAAGAATCTCAGAACTGAAATATTACATGCCTTGTTGGTGTCCTTTCTTAATTGTCTAATTACCAGTAGTCCATTGAAAAGTTACATTTGGGGTTGCAAAAGTCAGAGCACGCAATTTTATTTTTTGGATGTCAAGAGGGGGTTAGTGTAAAGTTGAATCCATGTTTGTGGGGTCGCAACCCTTAAGCGTCGGCCGCCATCTTGTAAAAATGGCTGGGAATGGTTTTTATACTACTACTTACTATATCGGGCAAACTATTCCTCGCACAGAAAATTTGTAAATATATTTCTTGTTGCAAATTAAATTCTCTACAACTTTAGTTCTGTAACTTTTAGTCGTAGAACCAAAAATAACAAAGTTATTAACGAAAATAGATAAAAATTTGGGAAGAAATTTTGTTTTGGTCGTCATAACTTTTTTTCTGGTCATTTTACAAAAAAATTACATCCGAGCATTTTGATAGAGGGGTTTTCAAAGAATAATTTCCATTACAAACATTTTTCAAATTTTATTTATTTATTAGGATTTTACAGCGATGCGAAACTATGAATATGAATGATTAGGCATAGGCGTCCTTCAGTTTTCTTCCAGTTGTGCTACCACGTGCGTGCGTGACATATTTAATTGTGAAAAGTATTTTGAGTTTTGTGGACAGTATTTTGAGTTTTGTGGACAAGATTTTGAGTTTTGTGAGAGCTATTTTGAATTTTGTGATAAGCATTTTGACTTTTTTAAGCGTTCATATAGTGTTATTCCATCATGAGTGATTGTTTTATTTGTAAAAAACCTTTATGGGAAAGTAAAATCAGAACTGTGAAGGCGAAAGGACCTTACTTGATCGAGCAATAACAAAAAATGATGAGGATAATGAACAATTTTTACGAAATGTTTCGGAAGTCACTGTACATATACCATGTTACCATTATTATAGCGACAGTCGAACGGATAATGTCGTTCATCGTTTCAGCAGCAGCAGTTTATCACCTTCAGTTTCAGAAGATCCAGAGACAAGCTTTGATTTTGTGAACAATTGCTTCATTTGCGCGGAAGCGTTTCAGGATCAGAGTAAGCGGCAGCAAAGACGACAACGGCGGGTTTGTAATGTACGTAATGACGGTAATAAAAAAAGTATTATGGACCTCATAAACAAACGTACCGACGATGTTGCAACGGGCATTGCTAATCGCATAGCTGATGTTCCCAGCTTAGTAGATATCGACATTCTTGTCTTGCTCACGGCATTTGGAAGAACACATTCAAATATATATTTTTTTAAACCATCGAAAGGACGTACAGCCGAACAATTATATTGTCCGTCAAGTTTTATGTACGGAGAAGTCATTGCGGATAATCTGTTGTTTCTCCATGCCTTCTCAGGATGTGACACAACTTCAGCAGCTTACAACATCGGTAAAATGAAATTTCTCGCAACACTGGAGACACGTCCTGAGTTAGCTAGTGGAACAGCGTTATTCCTGAATGAGAGAGTCGTCCCTACTTTGCTCACTGCCGTTGGCGAACGTTTTTTTATCTCTTTATATGGTGGCAATAAAGATGATGATTCTCTGGACAGTCTTAGATATAAACGATTCGCCAAGTCAGTAACAAAGAATACATTTAATTTGTCTTCACTTCCTCCAACACAAGAGACAGCCCGCTTGCACAGCCTCGGAGTCTATCATCAGGTCCAGTCGTGGCTCGGGAATTACAACGACCCTCAAGACTGGGGCTGGAAAAAGTATGGACAAATATTGATGCCTATTCAAAGTTCAAAACCTTCAGCACCCCCTGAGCTTCTAAAGTTGATATTCTGCCGATGCAAAGGAAACTGTGGAGCAATGTGTGGATGTCGGAAGGCAGGCCTCAAATGTTCTGCAGTGTGCCTGAATTGATCTGGGAAGACATGCAACAACATAATGGAAATATCAAAATTGATCGAGGAAAATGATTTTGAAGATGAACTGCCAACAATGACGCCACTTCATTCTCCATCCTACCTCGACAATTCAATATCGGAAGCTCCACCAGATCCTGAGTCGCAGCCTGGCACATTAAAGAGACTGAGGACACAGTAGATTGGGAAATACATACTAGGGATACGACGTAAAAAAAACGCGCCACCTGACTCTACCCCGTAGGGGGCGGGGAGAAGAGTCAATAACTAATTAACAACATTGCAATATAAATCACTAAAATATTTCTTATAAAAATAATGGAAAGATGAGAGAAAACTATGCCTAATCATTCATATTAATGTATACTTACTAGTACTCGAGAATATTGTAAGTTTCGCATCGCTGTAAAACACTAATTAATAAATAAAATTTGAAAAAAGTTTGTAATGGAAATTAGTCCTTGACAACCCCTGTATCAAAATGCTCTGATGTAATTTTTTTGTAAAATGACCAGAAAAAAGTTATAACGGCCAAAAGAAAATTTCCTACGAAATTTTTATATATTTTCGTTAATAACTTTATTATTTTTGGTTCTACGACTAAAAGTTACGGAACCAAATTTGTAGAGAATTTAATTTGCAATAAGAAATATATTTCCAAATTCTTTGTGCGAGGAATAGTTTGCTCGATATAGTCAGTAGTAGTATAAAAACTATTCGCAGCCCTTTTTACAAGATGGCGGCCGACGCTCAAGGGTTGCGACCCCACAAACATGGATTTAACTTTACACTAACTCCCTCTTGACATCCAAAAAATAAAATTGCGTGCTCTGACATTTGAATGGACTAAAGACATGTTTGCAGATCCTTGCGAAACTTTTATTACGAAACGCTTTGTTTTTCGACCCGATATTTTTTTAATTCTTGTGTAATTTCGGGTACGCCGCTGGCGACTGCACGCATTCATTATTAATTCCACGTTTTGTCAGTCCCAAATTTGACCATATCAGATTACGATTACTTAATATTGCCATTAAACATAACGGCCGACTGACTTCTTACTTTCATTATCGTTTCTGATGGATGTCCATTTAGTTTATTGCTGCAGCAGCGACGCATCCCGGTTGGCCGCGGACCCGTCTCGCTGATGTCGATGGTATACGGAGCGTTAACGAGAGAGTGGGCCGAAAAACTATTATTATTAATTCGAAAGCTTCGCGGTTACCATCAAAGACCGATTATTTCGTCTTTGGTAGCGAACAGATTTTGAAAAATTAACATTTAACGAGTAAATCTTTTATGGTGTGTCAACAGATATAGTTTTTTTAACCATAACTGTTGTAGTTTAATGAAAATTAAAGGCTTTGTCACTTGAATAAGACTGATAAAACGTAAACTAAAATAAAATATCTTTCGTTTATCTCGTTTAAACTTTTTGTAGCTATTTGTTCTCCAGTTTCTTCCATTCTGCAAAGAGAATGGTCTGGTGACTTGAATATTATAAAATGTTTTAATAAAGTTGTTATCAAAGCGCCAAAAAACGAGCTAATAATTCTCCTGATCTTTAAATTAATAGATAAGTCTTGACAGAAGTAGATTAATGAGTTTTTTTTAATTTTTCGAAGTACCTACATTACCACCTCATTACATCCTTTTTCCCATTAACGCATCAAACCCTATAATTGAGACGCGTGCATCGCGGTCGCCTCAAAACAACATTGTTGCACATAATGCATACTTTGTATGTCCAGATTGGTTTTTAAGTACATTTAAATAGCATGACATTACATCTCAGGAATATTATTAATCACCTGTCGGCTAATGTTCCAGTTGCGGCGGCCACTGGACGGTCTTGGACCACTGAATTGGTCCCAAATGGGTTTCTGCCGTATCAGTTCACTGAGGTGCTAAAAAATATGACGGATCACCGAGATCGCCACGTCAGTTTGTGCCAACAGCGTACCACGCCATTTTAGGGATGCACATATTACATTAAAAAGTAAAGTTAATAAACATGCATTATACAGGGTGTGAAAAAAATAGCGCACCGAACTAGCGGAGGTGGTAATGCTGACCAAAATAAGGGGCAGTTTTTTAGTAAATTTGGTATTTAGACCATTAGTGATATTGGAAAAAGTCGTAAGAGTTCCTAAAAATAACTCCCTGAATAAACATTTAACGACAAACGTTTATGACAACTTCTCTTGAAGTTCGGTAACTACTTTTTTGACACCCGGTCAAAATAAAAGAACCCATTCGTTGCATAAGAAAATCCAGTCCTAATTACTTCATATTATTTATAAATCTAAGTAAAACAAAATTCTGTGATATACGACGTCATACCTACTGCTGAATTTAGTTCCTGGGGAGGTTGACACGTCACCCCACAGCTATGGCGACAGCACTTAGTGATACCAGAGCACTGGGTGTCAACGTTGCAAGTCTCCATGCACACTGCAGCGAATGGAGATAGAGTGGTGTTTTTGGTTGGGCAATATCCAGGTTTATCTCCTCCTTTGGATAAACAGCTTTTAACACACTGTAAATTGAAAATTAAATACGTTTTTATTAATCAAAATCAGTCAGTAATAGATATATTTATTACATTTAAATGTTGAATCATTTTTGTTCTGTTAAAAATTCCAGTAGTAAATATTCAATAATAAAGTTTGAATTGAAAAATACTCCAATTTAACATAAGGATACGAAGGAATATAAAAATTTCATTATGACTAATCAACAGCATAGTCATTAGTTATCACATGCCTCCAGGAAGATTTAATGCTTCTGGAGTAGTTGAATATGTAATTTAATTGAACTGAATCATGTTAGCAGAGCGTGCCAAAAAGATTCTGGACACAAATAAATGAAGGGCAAATCTAAATAGCATGTTAATAGCATCATAAAGAGCAATCTGTTTCTTTTCCGTTTCATGTGACAATAAAATGTTTAAATTTAAACAAACTCAAATTATTTTAACACTTGTCCAATAATATCTTCAATGTAGTACTATCAATTTTTATTTACTGAAACTGGTTCTTGTTAAAAAGTTATTTTCCATGTATTTATAATTGTTTTCTCAAAATATGGCTGTTTAATCTGCATCTAACAAACTGGATCATTGTTTATTCTAACACATAAATGAAAAACATGGGAGAAATTTATTGGATTACACAGGAAAGCGACGAAACTCGTTCCAAGCACACCGTACTATCTCAAGGTACACTTCTGTATGAATCTGCAAGAAAAATCTCGTTGCATATAGCCTCGGCGGTCCGTAATTATCAGTCGTTATTATTAAATAACTGAAATCGTGTTAAAATTACCTACTAGGATGCAGAGTTTACCATTACGACAAATTGGGCCGTTTCACTACCTGCACCCAACTACGGCGATTATGAGAACCCATATAAACGCGGCTCCCCATTCACATGGGAACTTAACTCCAATAATACGAGCATATATGTCAGTTGTAGGTTATCAAGTTTATTGGGGTGCCGGCCTTCAATGTGGTGCAAATATTTAAAGGAAAAAAAAATAGTTTTAGACAATAGTTTAGAACATTTAGAACATTTCTATACTCGTAAGTCTCTGGGATTGGAAGTAGTTCTCATGATTAATACCACTGAGGGAACTAATCGTTTTCAATGGCTTAAGACGAAAAATAAGGATCTATTGCGAATAAATTTCTCTCTACCTTAATACCATTGATTTACCAAAAAACTAGCTCTGGTAACAATTAAATGGCGCTAATGCTGCTACATCCAGTGATTTTTATATCTTAAGTGGCCCAAATAACTACTATTAGTTTTATTGCTTCGCCACAATCACGCAACATGATGCGTGTTTGTGTTTTTTCAATTAATTATCACCACACACAAAAAAACTCGATTGCGAAGATAGTGCTATTAGGCCCTATCCAAAAAAAAACAGGGTTAAATGGAACTATGACTTTCAAGCATTTTAGATGAATAAACCGCGGAGTGATATTAAATTAAAGGGTGGAAATTGGAGATAAAGGTGAAAATGCACCCCTTTCAGTTTTTTAATTGTGGCTCGAAAACGAAGCAAAATTTCGCTATAGTTCACAGGAAACATTATTTAGAGAATAGAATTTTCCATCGAAATAGCTTATTTAAAAAATTTAAATGGAAAATTTTATGCAAAAAATTCGATTTTTTAATTTTTTTTTTACTTTTTTGCCTCTAGTTTTTTTTGAGTAAAGATAGGTATAGGCAATGCTTCATAAAAAAAAGTTTTCTTCAAAATAAGAGGTTGTAAAGTATTTTTGGATGAAAATTGACTGATATATGGCCGCTCAAACTTACAATTAGCCAATTTTTCGATTTTCGTTGCGTTTACCCCTATTTGATTCTAAGCTGTGAAAATCTAAAAAATATTTAAGTTTGATCGGTTATAACTGAGTCAATATTAGTCCAATAACTTTTGAAAACGCATCATTTTGAAGGAAATCTCATCTAGTTTTTTTGTATAGCAATTTTCTTTGCCTACGTCTACTAAAAAAAAAGTAAAAAAAAATAAAAAATCTTATTTTTTGCTTTTTTTTTAATTATTTATTAACGAATTTTTGCATAAAATTTTTCTTTTTAATTTTTTAAATAAGTATTTCGATGGAAAATTCAATTCTCTACAAAATTTTTCCTATGAACTATACCGAAATTTTGCTTCGTTTTCGTGCTATATTTAAAAAAAAACTGTAAAAGTGCGAGATTGATAATATTTTTGATAAAATAAAACTACAAAATTCAGCAAACCGCCATGATAAGGTTGGACACGAATCAGAGCGAATTACGTCACATCTATGTAAATGTCATTTTGTGTCATTTGTACTTCGACAATATCCGTAGTATTTATCTTCGTTTAAATATTTTGTAAAAAGAAAAACCAAAGAAATTTGTATGTTAAAGTGTGTATAAAATTTTATTAAAATCTTAGCTGATCGCTTTCGACTACATAGTCATCATCGGAGCTATTCCTAAAATATCAACAAGAGGTTGAAATGACATTATAAAAAGCAAAAAATTTTTACTTACGTTAAATTTTAGATACAAAAAAATATTTAGGAAACGTAGAAAATTTTAATAAGTTCGACATAACAATATACAACATTAAATATAACATCAATTACTGGTAAATAACTAGAGAAAGAAACAGAAATTGACTAACAATGTCGAACATGTGGAGTGAAATAAAGTGAGGTTAAAGTTAAATGAAATTGAAAATTGACATTCTACAATTCTAAGGATTACCAACTAAGTGAAAACAAAAATTTTTAAAGTTAAACTACCAATATACTAATAACAAAATATCAGCTGTGAATTAATGAGATTCCCAAAGATACTTGAATAAAGGTTTAAAATTACAATTTAAATTGACTTGAATATTAACACAGTTATTAGGGTTCCTTTTAATTTCTCTTAGAATTTCTAAGTCTTCCAATAAATTAATTTTATGAAAATCAAAATTATTATGAATATTATGAAGAATTTTGCTATTGTTTGAAGGTGAAAATGAATGGTTAGTAAAATTAATATGATGCCCAAAAGCTGACTTTTCAGGTCTTTTTAAATGTTCATTAATATGAATATTTAATGATCTAATGGTTCTACCAACATAGGGGACGGGACAATCATTATAAGATAACAAATATATATTATTATTTTTTAAATATTTTATGTTTCCCAACTATCAGTAGCTTAGTTTTGTGTTACCAAAACCATAATCAGGAAACGTTGATACTTGAAAAGTTTCTAAAAAAGGAAAGAAAATAAAGCTCATCAACTGCGAGTTAATAAAATATCAAAAAGACTATTTTTGTTATCAAAAGTGTATCCATGCATAAATTGGTGCTGAAAAAGAACAATCCTTCGACACATTTTTGAAAAAACTCGTACTGACTGATGAAGATGACTATCATGAAACTTGAAGAAGAGACGAAACCAACATCAAAGCTGTTTCTGGCATGATTTAAGGTATGGGAGAGTGACAGCCTCACGAGCGTTCGAATATAGTAAATAGTAAATAATTCCGAACATCATAGAACAGTTTTTCAAAATCTGTCATCATGCCTATTGGGTGTGGAGTTGTGTTTATTTTGAATGAAGATTTACTCAATTTTTTTTCGGTGTATTCTAAGTTAATATCTCGAACCGGTTTTATTACCTAAAAAATGAATGAAGACATTGTCACTTCGTTTCTACTTTGAATGCACTTCTTAAAAGTTTCCCCTTTCATTATCTCTGATGTCTCCGATTATAATGGAATCTCGGAGGTCATTTGTCCCATCAGGAATTCAATTCTAACGCTACCGATCGAATGGGATATTTAACGACGCCAAAGAAGAATGATCTTGAATATTCCCGACATTGTAACGCCTCATTTGGATAAATTAACTTTATAGACTTTATCATAAATGAAGTTGTTATGTTATATGGGTATCAGATGATATCGGGATTCTCGGTGTATAATTCAGGAAGTTTTATAGCCGAGCGGTTAGCCTGGCAGCGCCTCACATATGTGCATAACTTAGTTGCGGTAACACGTATCGTCTATAAACTAACTGATTTTTACCCAATATAATTAAATACTGTCAGTACGTGATCCCGGTCGAGTTCGTATTATAATCATATATAGCTTAATTATACACTCTAGCCGGGATCAATTACGAAAATGCCGAATGAATTATTGTTATTCACGGACAGGATCATGTGAAAAACTGCTCAGTTTGCGCTGGTAACAAGGAGTAACGGGACATTCTTGTAAAATCAGATACTAGTTCAAGCTCGTAGATGATAGTACTTCAAATTCAAGAAAATTCTAGACTGGTATGAATTATAGCTGCGTCAGTTTTGCAGTCGATCTGACAAGTGTAATAATAGGGAAAGGTGCTTTGTCACTGCAAAAAAATATTGGTAAATTCTTAGGAACAAGCAGATGGAAATGAATTTCAAAAAGATACATCCATTAATATTGCATATAAAATTATAAAATGACTTGAAATCATAACTTAGATAGAATAGAAATAATAACACATTATGTTTGTTTAAGCCAAACTATTAAAATAAATTCAGACACATAGAAGTCCTTTGATAGTTTAAACCCCAAGTAATAGATAGCTCTTTGGGTACTGTTTTGTAGCCACGAAGTGGACAGCTTAGTAAAAAAAAACGAAAAAACAAGAGGTATGATAGAATTCGGGCGAATCGATCCCAATATATATTGTTAGAAAAGCATTTTTAATTTTTAAAAATTGTTTTGACTTTAGTGAAATAAAAATTGTGCACACGGTAGCCATCTTTCATATCCTTTTACTCTGGTGTAATAGTGTTGTATCATCTTTTTGGTAAGTTTGCATAGTTTCCTTTTTTTTCTTGTCGCCATTTTATTAATTCCAGTCCATTCCTTGCTTTTATAACAGCTTACTACTAAACAATGTTTCTTAATCATTAAACATTTTTTATAATTTTTCTGAAAATAATAGAAATTTTGTTTGCAACAATACAGGGTGTTAATTAAGTA